ACCACAGCCAGCCCACTGCAAAGCGCTCCTTGGGTCGTAGTATGCCTTAAGTGGGCCGGGCTGTGCCTAGATTGGAATTCCTAACCGAATTTGAAAAATCTTGCTTGTAAATTACCAACCTATATATACCAATACCACAATAAAAAATAATAGAGCAGTACCTTAAATATACATCTAAATTCTAGTTGCTAAGGCATGGATGGATTCCTCTTTAGAGCCCTTAAATTTAGAGCTAAAGTTTCTAAGTCTAAAATTAACTCTAAACTTTAACCCACCTTATATTAGAGCTAAAGTGATAAAAAAAATTCTAAAGTTTAGAGGTGGAGATACAAACAAGCCTCAACAGTGGTGATGCATGGCTACCAATTTTGTAAGGGACATAAGTATTACAAAAGTTCATGGATAAATTTGGCCCGCGAACTGATCAAAATTTTAAGAGGGGAAACCAAGCAATTTAATTAGTTACGCAGGTCTCAAATTTATCCATAGACTTTGAACATTTGTGTCCTTGTAATTTCTTGCTTGATGACAAGTAGCATGTAAAAGTATATATTATTTTCAAAAGACCAAGTTATATTTTATGAAAGTATTTTATTGCTGAATAAAATAAATAACCAAAAGTAACCCCTAATCTTATATATATATATATATATATATAACTACTGTTCTGTAGCTGAGTATAAAATAACTTGTTCTGTGACCACTTTGAGTTACGATAATTACTATGCTAATTCACGAGATTATAATAACTCCTTACTATGTGATTTACTATAACGTTATGGTAAATATCATCGTGTGTTATAGTAACACAACTATCGTAAATATGTATTCACTTTATCGTAAATTAGTATATAAAATTATCGTAAATGAAGGTGACTATAGAATAACTTATTCTATAGCCAGCTGCAGAATATATATATACAAACACACCAAAACTAACCTGAGTAGTACTGAACCGTGTTCCGTATCAGTCAGTACTACACTCAGTATCTCGAAATACTGAAACGCGACTACCGACTGAATTTTGTTCGATATATATTTGAATCTAAATTATACGTCTCTATTCGAGCAGCGGAGCCACGCGGTATTGTTGCTCCATTGAATGCATATCAGGATTACAGCCACTTTCTTTTATATCGTATAAACTCTAACGTCTGTTTGGCACAGCTTATAATAGCTTTATAAGCTACTTTCAGCTATTTATTTTGTTCGACATTTATTTTTAAAATAACTTTCATGTGTGAAACTGTTTTTCTCCTTCTCTCATAAAGACATGAGTTGGAATAAAGCTGAAAAAAGTAGTTTATCCCAGTTCTTTTCCCTATTTCTCTCTCTCATTCATCTATGAAGTTGTTGGTGTAGCTGTATTACCAAACATTTTTTTTTCAAAACTGTTCAGCTTCACATAGAAAGTTGCTTATAAAGCTGTTTTTCTTGGGAAGCTTAGCTATGCTAAACGGGGCCTAAATAGTATATAAATATTTTAGTAGCTATGACAGACAAGCCATAAGATGATATGCTATATCATATAAACTCTAAATTATAATAGCATAAATAAAAAACTATATGTTTCAAAATAGATAACATAATTAATATGTAAATGTAAAATAATAATACAATTAAAATGCTCTCTATCGAGCGTCCATCCGGTCGGCTGGGACAGACTCGCCTATCCTTGCGCCTCACGCCTCATGCCTCGTGCGGCACGACTGTGCCTTGTGCCTCGCGCCTCTACCCATGCCTCGTGCCTCGTGCCGCACGCTGCTCTCGCCTTGCATCTCTCGCTCCTCGCGCCGCTTATGCCCCGTGCCCCGCGCTGCACTCCACCGCACCTTGCGCCCCCCTGGACTCACGTTGCGCACAATCGAGGTCCGACCTTCACGTTGTGGCATCGAGCTCAGTGCCCGCATCAAGCTCCGCGTCAATGAGCGTCCAATTGGGGGGTAGCAAGTAGATGATCACATGTTGTAACAGTATGTTTCATACGTTTTAGATATATGTTGCATATGTTTCATCTTGATGTTGCAAAAGTAGATCTGGTGTTGCATATGTTGCAATGACTATACATGTATGTTGCAAGTATATGTTTCTAATGTTTCAGCCGTTTCAAATGATGTTGCAAGTGTTTTATTTGGACATTACATATGTTGCACTAGCTATATACGTATATTGCAAGTGTATATTTTAAATATTTGAAACGTACGTTGGAAATATTTTATCTGGATGTTGCATATGTTACAGTGCCCATACACACATGTTGCAAGCGTATGTTGTAAATATTTCTGTTTTGGACGTATGTTGCAGCAAATGCTTTTATGTTGCAAGTGTTTCATGAGGAGGCACAACAAAGGGGCACAGGCGAAGGTGGTCCCCTCGGGCGTAGCGGTCCCCGTGTTCGCTTGGGAAGTGAAACGGGTGCGGCAGCAGGTGTGAAGCACAAAGTTGCATCCATGAGCGTGGCAGCAGGTGTGGAGCACAAAGTTGCATCCATGAGCGTGGCAGCAGGCGTGGAGCACGAAGCTGCATCCATGGGTGGACAGCAAGCGTGGAGCACAAAGATACATCCATAGACGGGCAACATGCGTGAAAGCACACGGCGAAGCAGAGCGCGAAGCTGCATCCAAGGATAAGCAGCAAGCGCGGAGCACGAGGCAAAGCAAAGCACGAAGCAATAGCCATATGCGCCATCTGTATTGAAAAACGCGGGACGGACGCCGCGTCCGCACGTCCGGAGCCAGTCTCTCCGTTCTTTTTTTACTAGGTAGCGTGCCCGTGCGTTGCTATGGGACAACTAAATCTTTTATACTAAAAACACACGGATCGCATGATAAGATAATAATACTGTTAAATTAAATACCGATGTTAAAGTGACATTTAATTCAAAAAGCAAAGTTCGTAAAATTAACACAGTCACGGAGAGCGCGGCGTCGCAAGCTCACAAACTCTACTGTATAGACTTTTTCGTGATATGGCTAAGATAATATTTTATATCGGCAGAAAGAATTCTCCGATATCAATTTCTTTCATGCGCCAATAAATCCATGAATAAGTTCTGTTGCATCTCCATATAATCCTGTACACATAGGTTCGAGTATATATGTAAATATTAGTGCCTGTCACATGGATAATACTGCGTGTCTTAAAAAATCTCTCATAAAATTTTAAAACAAAGTATGTTATACTCACCGTATAAATATGTGTGGATTTAGGACTATTCTACACAGACATATATTGTAGAATAATGTATCCACTTGAGTGTCTGTTCCAAGATATTGAATTAGGTGTTGTAATTCTTAATTTCGACATATTTTTCAGGTCAAGGTAACCAATGGTGACACTTTTCTTAGTGGTGCATAATTTTATGGTGCATCTCTTTACTATCTGAGTAAGGACAAGTTAGCACTGCAAAGGCTCAGAAAAGCTGTTGAGAAGGCCAAGATTGAGTTTTCCTCCACTATGCATACTAAAACCTATGTCCCCGTTTATCATTACCGATGCTTTTGATGCAAAGCAATTCAACATTATCGTGATCGGATATAAGTTTGAGTCTCTTGTGAGCAATCTCATAGAGGGATTCTCATCGTTTATGTGATCCGCCTCAAGGATATAGGCAGGACGATGGATCTATGTTGAAATGTCGCACCATAAAAAAAGTTGATAAGAGAAAAGTATCTAATATATTTTACCAGTAAAGTATCTAACATTGGTACACCAAGCTCATGAATTGAGACTATCAGTAAATAAATAAGGCTCGAACTACTTGAAACGAGATTGGTACAGACAAAGGGCTAACTATGTAAAAAAACAATGACATCCAATGTGCAGGCACACAATATCGAAAAATATAGATGATTAACTATATAACAAGAATGTCTGCAGCATCATGAACGACGAGAGATGGAGGACGGACGACGTCAATCGGTCTACATATGTGAAGACGACGGCTCGGGCGCACGAATCAGGTGGCGTCGAGGTAGCGGCGCGGTAGCCGAGGACGACGGCTCGGGTGCATGGCGCGGGTGAACGGCAAGGACTACGACGCGGACGTCGTGGAGGCGGCGGTGTTTCTAGGTGTACGATGTGGGCGAACGGCGAGGACGACGGCACGACGTCGTGGAGGCGGCAGTGTACGTGGCGCACGGGGAGGATGATGGTGCGGGCGCACAGACCAGACGATGGAGCAGGTCGTGGAGGGGAGATCGCACGGGGATGTGATCTTTGTGGTGACCTTGCGGCGATCGATGATGTAGCCACAGGTGCATCCACTGGTAGGCAGACGATGGATGATCCATTGCTGTTGCTTCTCCACTACACGACGAGGAAGAAGTAGGGGCGGCTCGATCGTGTAGGGGCTTGAGGAATGGGGCGCGCGACGATCGTCTCCGTGCAGCGACTAGTGACGCGCTTGAGTCCTACCAAGAAGACGCGTTCGATCGTGCAGCGACGAATGACGATGGTCTTCCGTGTTTGTAGCGCATGCAAATCAGGGTCTAAGAATTTCATATTTGTGGCACGAGGGCGGTATGATTGAGCATGAGACGTGGGTGATCACTTTCCTTGTTTGAGGCAATTAGGGTCAAGACTTTTCGTGTTTGTAGCGCATGCAAATCAGGGTGAAGACTTTCCGTATTTGTAGCACATGCAAATAAGGGTCAAGACTTTCCGTGTTTTTTTCACACCAAAGGACGCAACATGCGGGAGATATCGTGGGATCACAGACGTGGACAGACAGACGAACCAAAATAAATATCGTACCAAAAAATATTCACACTTTATTCTTTTTAGTCGTAGGAGAAGGAGATAGTATAGTATCAGCATTAACATTCTGTTCCTGGTATCTAAGGCAACACCAAATGTAATTTCCTTTCAAAAAAACACACACCGAATGTAGTTTTTTTTTAAAAAAAAACGGGAAACAAAACCCCTCAACTCAAAACCCTACACTCTCCATGGCCTGATTCCCTTCCTCCTCGCCGCCGCCGGAGGGAGGCGGTCAAACGATGCTATCCCTCCCCCTAGGCCGCCGCCACCTCCTCCGCCTCTGCGCTCGCCGGAACCCTACCTTCCTGCGCCTCACCATCGCCGCCACCGCCGCCGCCCTCTCCACCGCCCCTACCGTCGCCTCCGCCGCCGCCGCCACTCCCATCTCCGACCGCCTACGCGTCCTCCGCTCCCTCCACGCCGTCGCCCCTGACCACCTCCTCTCCCACCCGCTCCCCTCCTCCGCGCACGTTTGCCTTGCCGCCCACCTCGCTGCCCGCGCCCGCCTCTTCGCGCACTCCCGCCGTCTCCTCTCCCGCCTGCTTGGTGCTGGCCACCGGCCCCACCTCGCCGCCTCCCTCGTCGACCTCCTCCACCGCGCGGCCCTCTCGCTGGGGCCCCGCCGCAGCGCGCTACCGTCCGTCGTCGACACCCTCCTCTCCCTGCTCGCCGACCACGGCCTCCTCGACGACGCCGTCCGCGCCCTTGCCCGCCTGCGGCAGCTGCGGGTGCCCCCGAACACCCGTACCTGCAACCACATTCTCCTGCGCCTCGCCCGCAGCCGCCAAGGCGGGCTCGTCAGGCGGCTCTTCGACCAGCTGCCCGCGCCCAACGTGTTCACGTTCAATATCGTGATTGATTTTCTGTGCAAGGAGGGAGAGCTTGTGGAAGCGAGGGCACTGTTCCTGAGGATGAAGGCGATGGGCTGCTCACCGGACGTTGTCACTTACAATTCTTTGATTGACGGGTACGGCAAGTGTGGGGTGCTGGAGGAGGTGGAGCGGTTGGTCTCAGAGATGAGGAAGTCTGGATGTGCAGCTGATGTTGTGACGTACAATGCATTGATCAATTGCTTTTCCAAATTCGGGAGGATGGAGAAGGCTTACAGCTACTTTGGGGAGATGAAGAGGCAGGGAGTGATGGCAAATGTGGTTACATTTAGCACTTTTGTTGATGCATTTTGCAAAGAAGGGTTGGTCCGGGAGGCAATGAAGCTGTTTGCACAGATGAGGGTGAGGGGGATGATGCCAAATGAGTTCACTTATACTTCATTGGTCGATGGCACTTGCAAGGCAGGGAGGCTAGGTGACGCCATTGTATTGCTTGATGAAATGGTGCATCAGGGGTTGGTGCCAAATGAGGTGACATACACTGTTATGGTCGATGGCCTTTGCAAAGAGGGTAAGGTTGCTGAAGCAGATAATGTTTTGAGTCTGATGGAGAGAGCTGGTGTTAAAGCCAACGAGTTACTCTACACTACGCTGATCCATGGGCACTTCATGAATAAGAACAGTGAGAGGGCTCTGGATTTGTTGAATGAGATGAAGAATAAAGGAATGGAACTGGATGTCTCTCTCTATGGCACTCTCATTTGGGGTCTCTGTAAAGTTCAAAAGGTGGATGAAGCTAAGAGCCTCTTACATAAAATGGATGGCTGTGGTTTGAGACCTAATAATGTCATTTATACGACAATAATGGATGCCTTCTTTAAAGCTGGAAAAGAGTCAGAGGCCGTTGCCTTATTCCACAAAATTCTGGATTCTGGGTTCCAACCTAATGTTGTTACTTATTGTGCATTAATTGATGGATTGTGCAAAGCAGGATCAATCTCCGAGGCCATCTCCCATTTTAATAAAATGAGAGAGTTAGGCCTGGATCCAAATGTACAAGCTTACACCGCCTTAATTGATGGTTTTTGCAAGATTGGTTCCTTGAATAAGGCTGTGCACTTGATGAATGAAATGGTTGACAAGGGTATGTCTCTTGACAAAGTTGTGTACACATCTCTTATTGATGGGTACATGAAGCAGGGAAATCTCCAGGATGCCTTTGCACTCAAGGCCAAGATGATTGAAAGTGGTTTGCAACTTGATCTCTATTGCTACACTTGTTTTATCTCGGGCTTCTGTAATATGAATATGATGCAAGAAGCTAGAGGAGTTCTTTCAGAAATGATTGGGGCTGGCATTATTCCTGATAAGACGGTTTACAACTGTCTGATAAGAAAATACCAGAAATTGGGAAACATGGAGGAAACCTCAAGTCTTCAGAATGAAATGGAAAGTGGTTTAAGCTTTTGCACAGAAGATGATACTGCTTCTGGTTCTGGTTGTGAAACCTGATCTTGCGGTTGTACATGGTATAAAGGGTCAGTTTTTCTTTTCTTTTGATATAGTATCAACATTTCGGCACTCTCCCCGTGCAGAAATTTATTGCAAGTAATTAATTACATATTCCTCTCGGATTACAATCCTGAATCCTGCCTTGTGCTTGGGGTTGTTTTACTTACTAGGAGCTGGCCGGCCTTGGGGCGCGTGGCAAGCAACATCTGGAGAATGGGGCCGCCATGAAGCACAAGTTGCTCAAGGTTATAATCCCTGCCTGCTACACTGCTTATGCGTTCACATTCCACACTCTAGCTAGTCCTAGCAGAAACTGTAATTGTGTGGCAGTATGGAGCATTTTTGTTTGTGTTTTATACGTATGTCAGAGAAAGACAGCAATCAAGTTGAATCCTTTCTTGCTGGCTGCTTTCGGAGAGAAATTAAGCTACTCGCCTCTGCTGATTTAGTGTGTTCATGCGCCTCGCGCGAGCACGTGTTGTGCGGATGTCTGCTGCTGTATGTGTGCTGTGACGCTTAACAACCTACCGCCTCCGTCTCCATTCTCAAGTCGCTATTCTTGGAGTGGGCGGAGTTGGCAACCCAAAATTGTTTCTCTCATCATGCCTTGACATGCCATGCCTCAGTTTGCTATTCTTGGAGTAGGTGGCAACCCAAAATTGTTTCTTTCATCATGCCTTGACAAGTTGACATGCATGCCTCTGATGAAATGTACACAAAATTGCTGTTGCTGGCAAGATGCCCTCTTGCTGTACCTTCTTCTCTTTTTTTGGAGACAATTTGGTTTGCCTTGTTATCTATTTTCTGTAGCCACCTTTGTGTCAATAAGGGGCGTACCCAGTAACCCAGTGCAGAGAGCTCCCGCTCTGTGCGGGGTCTGGGGAAGGGTGGCAGTGGCAAGCCTTACCCTCGCCTGTGCAATGCGAGGAGACCGCGACTCGAACCCGGGACCTTCCGGTCACAGGCGGTAGGACACTACCGCTTGCACCAGGCCCGCCCTTCTCCTTTGTGTCAATCCATAGCTGAATTTAAAGAGTGGACACCACATACTCTTACATATCCTCTGAGTTAACAGTGTTTCGCACGATATATTGTTTCAGTATTAAGTAGTGATATCAAAATAGATCAATTGGTTGTGGTGCAGTGTGGCCAATGCTGGTGATGAAACTTTGCTCAAGTCTGCAAACTGTGCACAACTATCTAGCTAGATGGATCACTTTGTCACATTGACGTTACCTGGCTCACCTAAAAGGCTAAAACCATCATCAGGAGCCTGCTGTACTGAAATTTCTGATGGTTTCTTTTCAATCTTGACTAACCTCCTCTCTTTTCTGACTGTGTATCCACTATCCAGGATGTTTCCAACAAGGTGTCTGGATCTAATGGGATTTTGGCTGAGAGATCTATAGATCAAAGTGTAATAAGGATCTATCAGATCAAAAGCAAAGCTTAAGGGTGCTTTTTCTCTTTAATTGGACTAAACAATGACACCTTCAAAAGTAAAGGTAAGCATCAGGAGAGTACAAACAGCGAGACATTGCTATCATCCATCGAACTGTAGTCAGTCGTGTTTCAGGACCTCGTACTCCCAAAAGGTATCAATTGAAGGACTTGTCAAAACTGCAACCTCTTATTTTTCTTACATTTTAGGATTCGGCAGTCTGCAGCTCTTCATTTTTCATATTTGAAAAATTAGTCGAGTAGCCTCAAGGGCTTGTGGTGCCCAAAATGATGAGCTCAGTTTGTTGTGCTTCTATTGACGTGACCATTTAATCACTGGGGCTTCGCAGTCAATAATTTTCATGAATATATACAGTAAACACAAATGTGATGATAGGAACATTGGTGTCCCTCAGTTTGGCATCAGTAATAATCTTGTGCGTTGCTTCTATGGGTTGAACTTCCAGTGAGATTTTACAAATAAAGTTGATAGGCTACATTTTGCACATTCACATATGCTAGTAAGATGGTTTTCTTTCTAAGTAGTAAATACTTTAAATCAGGTAACAATGCATGTTGTGGTGCAATGCAATGTGCAGTTGTGTTCCCTTAAACATACTGTATATTTTTTTTCACCTTCTATAAGATTTACCCATGATTCCATGGTAAAGAAGTTAGTGAAGAATTTTGTATTGACTCTGAGCTTTTTAGGTCCTGGGAGATGTACAAGGAGGTCATAGTACCACTCAGACATTTAAGGACGTATTGATAAAGTATTACTTAGTGGTGAAATTAGTGTTGCATATAATGTTTTACAATATTTATCAGTTAGACATAACGATATATGTATATGTATTCGTTGTTAGTTATTTAGAAAACCTCTTGTTGTGAAGGCCAATCTTAATTAGTTCAAGTATTGCCACACAGTTTTCAAAGTTGGTGCAGGCTATGACTCCTGTGCTCTTGAGAGGATCTGTGCTTTCAGAACAGAGTCGTCTTCAGTTTTTTTTTTTTTTTTTTTTTCCTATCATAGGAAACTTAATTTGTTTTGTGACAGGATCCTACTGTTAATGGGAAAGAGAACCATGGTCAAGAGGCAGTGCATGAGGAGAATACCAAGTCCTGTGAACATGAATATGGAAGTTACTGCCTCTGGTCTACTGAACATAGGGAATTAATGAAGGATGCCATTGTCAAGAGGCTTAATGATCAACTTTTTATGGAAAGAGCTCATTATCCTAGTGTTGCAAAATTGAAGCAACAGGAAAGATTTACATGTGAACTGAAGCAAAACATCCAAGAGCTTGAACGCATGCTGAGTGACACCATCACAGATGCTGATCTTCCACCATTGTTAGTCTCGTCTTAGCTTTAAAATCATATGTGTTTTTTCTTTGTTTTTCATATAACCTTTTGCACTAAATAAATGAATTATATGTGGCTAGTGCAATCCATTAACATGGCTTTGTTTCTTGTCTTAGTTCTGTGTCTGCATTTCTTCAAGCATTAAAGGATGAGCATACACAATTATGATGTTTGTGACTTAATTGTGATAAAATAATGCACTGCAATATCTTTTTTTTTTAAATTATATTCTCAAAATATTTCTGGTGGCAATGACTGGTTACTCTTTTCAGTTTTGCAGAGAAGCTGGGGAAGATGGAGCACACAATTGAGCGGGCCGAGTCTTGTGAAGTAGGATGCTCAATTGTTGAACGGAAACTTAGGCAGCTACTTGATATAACCGAAGATGAAGCTTATTTCCATACAAGGCAGAGTGCATTTCTATATCATCTTGGGGTCCAGACTACGCCGAAAACTCACCATTGCTTGAACATGAGATTGACAGTAGAATATTCATACTTGGAGGCAACTGTTTGTGTAACTTACATTGAGGACAACCAGAAGCTCTCTAAGGACGTAGATTCCCTTGAGATGCAACAATTATGGCCTGCAGAGGAATTTTGTGTCACAATTCTTAATCATTCTGAACCTTCCCAGAGGCAGATGAAAACTGAGTACATATGTATTTTCGGCCATTCAAGTTTCCTCTTGCCTGACCTTCCTACCTTGAACAGAGTAGTTGTTCTGGATGATGATTTGATTGTGCAGAAAAAATTGTTATCTTTGTGGAACCTTGATATGGGTAGTAAAGTGATCGGCGCTGTCCAGTTCTGGTGAAGTGAGATTAGGGCAGTTGAAACCATAGCAGACCATAATGTCAATACTAATTCATGTGTGTGGTTGTCTGGCCTGAATGTCATTGAATTGGATAAATGGAGGGACACCGGCATTACCAGTTTGTATGATTAATCGCTCTAAAAGGTCAGTAGAACTCACCATTCACATTGAATTATCAATTGCTGTCTCATGAAAATCTGTGGTTTCCATGTAGTATCCCCCAGTCCTATCCTTTTGCTATAATTTCCTTGTCTTATGTCTAAAAGGCAGCTGCCATGTGATCTATTAACTTCGCTTTTTTGCAGTTGCGAAAGAACAGCCTGAAATCACAGCGATCGCAAGCACTCGCTGCAAGTTTACTTGCCTTTCAAGTTCTAGTATATCCTTTGGAAGATTCATGGGTTCAATCAGGCCTTGGACATGATTGTGGAATCAGTTATGTCAATATAGAAAAGGCTGCTATTCTGCAGTATAATGGTGTGATGAAACCTTGGCTTGACTTGGGGCTGCATGATTATAATTTATAACTTATAAGAGCTACTGGCAGAGGTACATGACTAGTGCCTAATGGAGAGAAGTTCATGACCGAATGCAATATTCACTAATTAATAGGACATGAAATGCACCAAACACTCATTTTTGGGCATTTGAACCACAGATTTCATGGGTTTTGCTTAAATGATTAGGTTATCATGAAAATAAACAGAATTGCTCCTGGCCTGCAGTTTCTATGATGACTCAAACACACCCCTGTTGAGGCAGTGCTCAAAGACCAAAAGGAGAATAGGATGAAATACTTTCTGCACAAACTGACAATGTAGCCATAACAGCGTCTACTATGTCCGAAGGACAGCAGCGTGAAACCTATGAATTATGATTTTTTTTTACCAAGACGTAATATAGATTATTTCACACTATTCATCAAGTTTTGATGATTTTTTTCCATATGCAGCTTGGCACTGCAAAAGTGCAGTTCCGTGCTGCTCATTTTTGGTATAAAATCGTTGGTGCTATTCTTTTTGCTCACTGTGCAAGAGCAATACTGAGGGAGTCCAATGTTGACTGCGGCACAGCATGTACAGTACAGGAAACAGCAAATGATACTTGCTTGTAATTCTTAGCAGCAAGGCTTGCATTTGTTACTGTTAGATGTTGATAGCCCATTGGCGACATAACAAATGGTTGTCTGTTCTGCCCAATGGCATTCTTTTTTTATTTTGTGGATTTATTAGGTTCCTTTTGTTGTGCAAATCTCAGAAAGGTGAGTGCCGGGCTTGCTTGACATAGCTACTGACTTTTTGGAGCGGTGCATCACATCGGCCTTGCTAACAGTTTTATTTTATAAGCTTTATTAGTTATCGTCTTAATAAATACAATAGGTAGTAGTAAAATTTGCATATAGGAGATCGTTTTTGTTGTCCAAAACGTTGCACATTTACAAATGAACGGAGTAGGAAGTAATTAGCCCTACTCCAAAATTTGCTTTGACCAATGAAAGCCTCCGACGTCCAAGCAAGATTGCGTTTGATGTTAGTCACTGAACCTGCTCGATTGCCTCAGCGTGTCCATCTATATATACTAGTCCTTTGGGCGCGCCCATGCGCGCGGGCCACTGGCCATACGTTTTTTTTGGGAAAAAAAAGATATAATCAAAGTTGGCCTGTGTGTTGATTTGAGAAAAATCCGAGGAGGTTTTCGCAAAAAATGATGAGAGGGTTTATGGAGCGCGGACGGATTTTCGATAAAGATAAGGGTTTTTTTTGAAAAAAAACGTTCTGGACCACGGGTTGATTTCAAAATAATCTGAGGTGTTTTTTGCAAAATATCCTAAGAGGGACTCTGGAGCGCGGGTTGATTTCCAGAAAAAAGAAGGGGTTTTTTGAAAAATGATCGCGGCTCGCCCGATCTAGGCCGTCCGCGCGGCCGATCGAACGGCCACGAAAAGCAGACGACGTGGCACGCTGGGTGGCCGGCTATTCTTTACGCTTTCTTGTCTTTAGATACAGCCCAGATTGTGACAGTATGTAACAGAAAATGGTGGGCCCCACCCAGAGAGGGGTACCAACAGTGATGTTATAGAGAGTGCCTTCTTGCTATATGTCTGGCGTCCGACGCGCTTCACCTCTGGACGCGGCTCACGCTCCTCCACTCGCTCCCCTCGTCTTATCCTCATCCACCTGCCCCACGTCGCTCAGCCCGCTCCATACGGAGACGCTCGCCGCCGCTCCCTCCCGAGCCGCTCGCGGCGACGCCCCGCCCGAGCTGTGCGCCCCCCCGCTCGTCGCCCCTCCCTCCCGCCGCGACCCCCATCCCACCGGAGAGGAGGGCGACGGTGGCGGCTTCCGGCGAGCCGCCCCTCTCTCCCTCCCCCTCCCTCCTTCCCTCCGCGACCTCCATGTCACCGGAGAGGAGGGCGATGGCGGTGGCTTCCGGCGAGCCGCCCCTCCCTCCGTGACCTCTATGCCACCAGAGAAGAGGGCGACAGCGGCGGCTTCCGGCGAGGTAGGTGGGTCCTTCTCTGGATCTAAGCTGTCCTCCTCCTCTGGATCTGAGCCCTCCTTCTCCTCCTCCTCTGGATCTAAGGGATGCGGCGGTGGCTAGGGTTCCGGCGAGCTCTCGAGGTCAGATCTCGCCGTGTTGCAATGATTTTTTTATGTTGCAACAGATGATTTCGAATGTTGCAATATGATTTTTTTGGGTTGTTGCAACAGATGTTTTTGTGGTGTTGCAGTAGTACTGCTTGAGATGTTGTAGTATGTTTTCAGTTGCTTCAATCTCATGTTGCAGTAGTTGGTCCATGTTGTTGCAAGTGTTTTTATTTCGAGCGTTTGTTTCATATGCTTCACACCAGTGTTGCAATAATATGTTCCAAATGTTTCAGCTCCTTCAACCTATTGTTGCAGCAGTTAGTTCGGTGTTGTTGCAATAATATGTTCATGGTGTTTCAACTGCTTCAGCCTAATGTTTCAGCTGTTGTTCCTTGTTGTTGCAATAATATGTTCATAGTGTTTCAACTGCTTCATCCCAATATTGTAGCTGTTGCTCCTTGTTGTTGCAATATATATGTTTCATGTTGTTTCAGCTGCTTCAGCCTAATGTTGCAGTAGTTGTTTCCGTGTTGTTGCACGTGTTTTTATTCCAGCTTTCTATGTTGTTTGGCCGGGGAGGGGCGAGCCGGGACGGACGGGGCGCATGGTTCGTCGGTGAAAGGATCAAGATGCCTAAGAGGAGGGGTGAATTGAGCTAATTCTAAATTTCTTTGCAATAATTAAGTCCTATGGTTAGCCCAATTAACCCCTTGTGCCTAAAGAGTGTTTCTAGTTGTTTTACCGCATAAAAGACTTGCAACCTAAGTTCCAATCCTACTATAGCATGGCAATTCTATGAATGTAAAAACAAGGATTGAATTGCTCAATGTAAATGCTCAAAGTAACTACTCAGAGTAAATACTCAAAGTAAATGCTCAAAGTAAAGAGAGGAGAGAAAACGCGGCGATGTTTTGCCGAGGTATCAGAGAGTCGCCACTCCCCACTAGTCCTTGTTGGAGCACCCGCGCAAGGGTGTAGCTCCCCCTTGATCCGCGCAAGGATCAAGTGCTCTCCACGGGTTGATTCTTCGACACTCCGTCGCGGTGAATCACCCACAACCGCTCACAACTTGAGTTGGGTCATCCACAAGCTCTCCGAATGATCACTAAGCTCCCAATCACCACCAAGCCATCTAGGTGATGGCGATCACCAAGAGTAACAAGCACGAACTCTCACTTGACCACAACAAGCCTAGGGAGAAGAGTGGATGCACACTTTGCAACTTTTGATCTTGCTAATGAGGGCTCTCTTTGGGATTCTCAAATCACAATCACCTCACTAGGACCTTGCTCTTCTTGGCACTCTCTAAGGTGTTTCTCAGCTGTTGGAATGAGCAAAAGTCATTCCACACACAAGTGGAGCTTCTATTTATAACGTGGACTAAAAAACAAACCGTTATGTGCCTCTACGGGGTGACCGGACGCTCCGGTCATGTTGACCGGACGCCCCGGTCAGTATACCCTAAACTCTAGTGTTTACAGTGTGACCGGACGCTGCCAGCGTCCGGTCAGCACTGACTGGACGCGTTCGGTCACGATTTTCCCTCTCTGGAACCTTACTTGAAACGACCGGACGCTGGCCCTCAGCGTCCGGTCACAGGACCTTCCAGCGTCCGGTCGCATCGAACAATTTCACCTCGATCAAATGAACTGACCGGACCCTGCGCCAGCGTCCGGTCAGTATTTGACCCTCCATTCACTTCTAACTCTCGATCATATGTGAATAAAGTTTGCTCCAATGGATCTTAGGCATATGTAGGAGCTACCTAGCTCTAGTTTTGACAAGTGTGCACCACACCTAACTCACTAGACTCACCTAGGTCAAGCTACCCGTCCATACCCCCCTTAATAGTACGGTCAAAGGAAAAAACAAAGTCCTAAACTACTCTAAGTGTCTCCAACTCCAAACGACACTTAGAACTAGTCCATCCTTAACCTTGTCGTCCATCCTTTGAAAACCGAAACAATTTCCATCGTAGGGGCATGACAACCATGATTGCCCAATCGATCTCCATTACCGTGACCTAACTTAATTGCCTCTGCAAAACACACGTTAGTCACAGTAATCTTGTATTGTCATTAATCACCAAAACCCAACTAGGGGCCTAGATGCTTTCAATCTCCCCCTTTTTTAGTGATTGATGACAATACCACCTCGAGTATGTGAAAGATTTGAGGTTTTTAACATGCTTGGATCATATAAGCTTTTGGCAATAAGAACAAAAGTGTTAGGCAAGCTTATATGACCCAAGCCAACATGATGTACTCAAAAGATGTGAAAAAGCATGAGTACAAGTAATAAAGCTCATTTACATCAGAGTAAAGACGCGGAAGCAAAGGCAAATGAGCATAACAAGAGTGATATGACATATAAGTAATTCAAAGTAGAGAGCACACATGTCATATATCACGA